GACCTTCGATCTCATTTTCACTTAGGTATAGTGACATTAGTTCCAAGTTTTTGTGAAAAATTTCCGGAGGAAGCGATGCGAGTTTATTCTTCTCAAGACTCAAACTAGTAAGTGATGGTAGATCATCAAAGGACGAAGGTTCAATGATGGTCATGGTGTTGGATCGTAATTCCAGACTTTTCAAACCGTTTAAACCTTTAAATATCCCAGGTGTGATCTTATTGATTTCGTTTCCAGAAAGATCGAGTTCGAAAAGACTTGATAACCCAGAAAAGATACCGTCGGGGATGGATGTCAACTGATTGTGGCTTAGTATAATTTTTTTGAGCTTCGAAAGGCCCGTGAATATATTGTCCAGTGTTCTAAGTGGATTGTCGGATACTTCAATCACCTGTATATCAGGAGTGTTTTTGAAGAGATCTCTGGGTAAACCTTCAATTTCGTTTATGGAGAGGTACACTTCCTTTAGAGACTTTGCGTTAGCTAATAGGTCTTCTGGTATATGTTTGATTTTATTATTCTTCAAATGCAGCTCTGTTAAAGAATCTTGGTCATTAAAAATGTGTGCTGGTAAGGTTTCCAACTGATTGTTCTCTAGATGGAGCACTTTTAACTTGGATAACCCTTTGAAGGTATCCTCATCTAACACACACAACGAGTTCTCAGAGAGATAAACCGATTCAAGCAAAACCAATTTGTTGAGCAAGTTATTGGGAAGATGCGTTAGTTTATTATCATAAACGTGCAGCTCGACCAAATTCGGTGAATTATCAAATGCGCCTTCTTCAATTCGTTCTAACTCATTGCCATGCAAGTTAAATTCAACCAACGCGTGCACGTCGATAAACAATTCCTTGGGAATGTGTGGTACTTTTGTTCCGTAGATCAGAAACTTTTTTAGACTGAACAATTCCCTAAACGCTTTATCGTCAATGTCTACTGTGCTAAATGCAATTTCTAATTCTTGCAAATTCTTCAAGTTTTTGAAACTTCCGTTAGCTATATTTGTTACGTTGCTAAAAAGAAACTTCATAACCTTTAAATGCTCGTAACCTTCAAAAATGTTGGGCTCATGAAATCCAATATCGCTCTTGTAGAACTCCAAATGATCGAAATCTTCCATTACCATCTTATACTCCTCAATCCACTGCTGAATGCCGTGCTTTAATTGGTCCAATGAGCTGATATGTTCACACGAGATAATCTTCCAAAAGCGATAGTTGCAGACATTCGATTGCACACTGGCCAATCCAATGAGGAACAACAGGGTTATAAGTGACGTCATCATAAACTAATGGACTAGTTCATTAACCTAAAAAGCCACAGTAATTTACTTACCATTTAGAACGATGTCCACTACAAGTCTTAACACAAAACAGCAGGACTGTCGATTAAATAGAGAAGGTTAGGAAATTTGTTTATCAATGATAACCCAACTAACCTATCGTTACTAATGTTATCATGCATAATTCCGACAATTGGTGTTTGCTCATATCAAAACATTGAACGATACTTCGACCAAACCAAACATTAATTTGTTTTCATTGAGGTTACTTAATAGTTCTGTAAACTGCTACCATTTCCTGGGGCTTAAGAGTAATGTGAAACTTTCAGAGACCTAATCATCTATTCTATTTATTATCGGAAATGTTTAAAGTATGAAAACCGGCCGTTTGGACTTAAGGGTTTCCAAAAGCCCCCAAGATCTCTCCCAGAATACCACAAGTTTTTATTTTATTAAGCTATTTACACATAAATTAAACTTTTAAAAGCAAAAACCATTCCGAAGGCTAGAAAGGTCCATCTTTGTGGGCCGGAAAGGGGATTTTGCAAATTGTTGATCGTGAAAAAAGAACAATGGTTACTGACTCTTTTGGACCAGGAAACATTACTGTTTCCTGGGAAAACAGACCGAACACGTTGGTAATAATAATTTTAAAGTGAAAATTGGTTTAAAAACTCTTTGTGCCGCTATCAAGTAACCACTTTACGCTTGGTTAATACAACAAACAATTACCTTAACTGCCTTAGTAAAGACATAAACGTGCGCCATTAAAGGAAATCAATATATCAAATTGCGAGGGTGATCCGATTACAGTATTTATTTTGATAGCACCATGTAATTAAAATGCCGCGTATTTTAAAGAAAAAAGGCCGTAATATCTCGATTATTAAGCTGCCGTTAACGTTTGAAGTTTGAAATAAGCGACTTAACAAAGTTACATTAAGCTCAAACGTATTTATTTGTGTTAATTTACATTAGCGGTCAATTATGGAAGGGGTTTATATTCCTCTTTTTCTTGTATTTCAAAATTATTTGAATTGACCATCAATCGTTTTTAAAACGGAGGGTGGAAATGAAATCAAATTACCTTTTCGTTCTTTGTACATGTTGTATATTGCTTTTGACATTTGTGCTGCTATAAATTCGGTTAATACAGAATGTGTAGCACGAATGGGTTCTTTACTAGTCGCTTTGGTAAAGGTTTCGAACGGAAACGAATGCTCACATTTTGCAATAATTAAAATGCATATTAAAATAGTAAATCTTTGCATTGTACCATATTATATAAAGACGATGGGTAAACGATGATCGCCGAATATGAACGAATAAAATGGGAAGAAGAGGTAGGGTGTGGATCAATACCCCAACAGGCCTACGTTGGTTATATGATACTTTTAATAGGATTAGCAAAATTACAGAGCATTCAAAGAGAAAACATTTAATTCGGAAAATACGAGTTTGCGGTACTAATAAGGAAGCAGCTTTATGGTATTGGAAGTCGAACAATCTTTAATAAATTTCCTTTTAATGAAGCTAGAATTTTACCATATACGACAATGAAAAATAAAAATATAGCCCCATTTTCATTTTTCACACGCCCTTTAAGTAAACCTAATATGAAAATGTTCATTAATGCAATAATTTGTTCCAATTAGAAACAATACACGCCGAATTCACTTGCAACAAAATAAATTAGGGTTGTACTCGCTGTTCCGTGTAATAATAACCAAGATAACGCCGCACGTGACAGAGAAAAATAATTAGAGAAATTACGTGCCGCATTCTGTAACTGACAATAGTAAATTTTCCTCTTAGTAACTATACGTTTTGATTAGGCTCGTAATTAATAAAGCAAATCTCATATATATTACAAAAAAAGGGAGGCGGTATACAATGTGTACCGTTATTTCTTCTGCGTTATTACAACCGCTTCTTTTTCATTTGGCTGATTTATGAATAGCAATCGTGTGTACAAAGGCAATATGACGGATATTTGTTTTACATAATTCATTCGCAATTTATGAATGTTATTTCATATTCTTAAAAGGCCTTTTTGGTTATTTTTCATTGCTGCGGCGTATCCGAAAAAAACAACGTCGAAAACGAATGACTTATTTGCATAAAGATGTCTAGCTTTACTTTCTATGCCAAATAAATTCACAACGAGGACACATCATGGAAACTCCTGTTCCAATGAAAATATTATTCAGTTAAAAGGATAAAGTGTAGAAGCATTCGTTATTGCATTATAATTGCATGATAACGAAGTGTCTAGTATGAAATAATGAAATTTGCCAGGTAGCAAATCACAAATCCCGTTATTGATATTTGCGCAGTATGCGTTCGTATAGTGCCATGTTTTTGTACTAGTGGAAACTGAAATAATTGGAAATTATTATAAATTCGTGTTACCATACAAACTGCAGTGTCAGTATTTACAGCATGTTATTCAACAAAAATTAAAACCAAACGGCAAATAGAAAGCTACACTAGAAACTCCAAAAAATTGTAAGAAAAATGTTATTCCCAATTGTTTAGGTATGTGTTGAAATTTTAAGGTTGTAGCTCTGTTATTAATTAATTAGGTAAGGGTAGTTTTCATCTGTCTCAGTAAAAATATAAAGGGGACTGAATTAAAAAATTGCAGTTTTTGCCATTTGTGCAAATTGCCTTGTTTGCGCAAGTAAATGGTTGCATGAAAACTAAAATCGTTTACTTAGAGGTGATGTACGTAATGAGGCTCATTGCATTACACTTCACTTCCCTTCCATGTTAATCCTGGAAATTAACTGTTTTTGAATTTTCTTGATTTTGTGAAAAAATCTATTAATTTAATTTAATTTATCAATATTTCATAAACCATTTAATCTCAACATGCATTTTTTCCGGGAGCGATATGTCCTGAGAGCGAATTGGCCGGGCGCGTATTCTCCTACAACCATCGGCTTCTATAATAATAACTTACTCTTATGGCTACTGAGAAAAAAATTAAAGAAAAAATGCAAATTTCACCACATTTTTGAGGGTGGCTCCCACACGAAACACGTTTGGAAAACTCTACCACCCAATTTTTTTATATACTTATATGTCACCCCTGTAGATACAAATTTATTAATATTTAGGTCGTTATTGAAACTATTTTTGGATAGTCAAGTTATATGGATGGTGTTTGATTGGTACTATTTGCTTGTGAGAAGTTCCCTTAGGAATCCAAAGTTGGAAGTCTAAAAATGAAAAAAAAACTCTAATTAAAGGGCAAAGAAGAAGAAGAAGAAAAACAACGTGATTATGCGCAATTAGCTATTACATAAAATAACTAGGCACTTTTCTTGCACGGTATTCCACGTTTACGTGTAATTTTGTTAGCTTTTTAGCAATGTTTAAATATTAAATTTATTTGTGTTGTTTTATGGTACAATAGCAGTTGTTTCTTCGTGGTTTTGTTCAAAGGTAATTAATAATTGAAAATGTTTCAATAGTAACTGTGCATAAAAGTTCATTTTTACATAGAGATGTAATTACAAACTGCTTTTATGTGTTTTATGTCTGAAAGGAAAATGGGCTTTTCCATTTAAACATTAAGTTTTTAATTATGAAATTTGCTGGTCATGCTGTATAATTTTTTTGATCATTTGCTATATATTAGATATAGTTTAGTTTAGACATTAGTTCAGCATACATTATCGTCATTATCGAAAACTACTTATTTCTATACCGCATGCAACACAGGTTGATATAACTACCAATTTTAAATATCGCGAAGGGGTAAGACGGTGTACTGTCACAAAAATACCAGTCAATAGCAAAAGAAACCCAGATATTTCTATATAATACCATTACAACCGAAAAATTGAAACAATGCCAGAGAATTCCCCTACGAAATATCGCTATTGCTTAATTAATTAAATTATTTAAAAAAGATTGGCCTATAAACATGGGTTCTGCATATGTAATGCGATGGAGGGCCTGGATCGGACAGCCGGATTAGAAAATATATCGACGGGAAGAAGAAAAAAATATCTAATGTGAAGAGAAGATAAGTTGTGACAGTTTTAGTTCAAGAAATTTTCAAAAAATGTTGATTTTTTTAAATGGATGTTTTGAGGAAATTTTAAAAAAATGTTTCAAAAACGGTAATGTAATTAGTTAATGACCGTGTAGCAAATTTGAAGTCTGAACAACTTTTCTTAATAACATTTGTGCGGATTTCGTCCCCAAAGAGCACTTTACTGGTAAGCAAAAAAAGCGTTTTTTAAACAATTTTAAGAAACTAAAATTATGCCACAAATTCGTTTTCCAACCAAGTAGGGGTGATCCCCAGAAGCTCAAAATTCAATTCGAACATTCTTTGTACTTTATAAGAGACGACCAAACAATCGGGGGACACAATGTATATCCGCCTAAGAACTGTATTCAGTTGCCGTTTTCTTGCGACCAATATCTTTAAGTCCCTTTACTGTGACACGTGTTTTTGGGGACAATATTCCAGTTACTTTCTTGGGGGAGAATTTTCTGTGAGAGATTTTTTAATTGCTGCTATACTGCAATATAGTCCTAGACCAACAAGTGAAGAAAACGCAAATTTTATATTGGACCAAGACAAACATTTTTAGAAGAGATCCACCCACACCCCTCTCAACGTGCCTTCTTTAAAATTTTTTAGCATTTCACAGGAAAACTACGCTAATTAGCAAAAAGAGATTCACATAACCTTTTGGATCAGACAAAGACAATTAATAATGTTGCAATAAAATTTCAAAGCTTGAAACAATTATTGAAGAGAGAAGCAACGCTTCCAAAACTTTACGAGGAAAAGATAAAAAGCAATTTAAAGGAAATCACCCAAATAATTGATGAAAAGGAGGGAGATGCAGTGATGCAATGGCAGTCATATTAGTGACAGAAAAATTGCAGTTACAAATATTATAAAAAAAAGGTGGAATGGCAACGATCGCATATCAAAATTTTAAGTGCGCAAAGTCAAAAAATAAGAGAAAAATTAAATAAATACGTCAATGGTTGCCGGTTACGTACAAATTTGAAAAGTTTAGTTAACAGATAATTCAAAAAGTCGCAGTATTTAATTAAGCCCACA